TATGATTCAATCTAATATGGTCAATAAGCATTCTAATCATCCAATATCTTGGGCTAGAGTATGCAAATCTCTGGAAAAGTTTGTTCAGACATTTCATCAAACACCTTGTGGGCATGGAAATGTCTGAGATCAACTTTCAAATGATCAGAGAGGAAATAGCATTAAGATCTACTAAACCAGAAGGGAAATCATGCAATTAAACACTTACCTAGCTAAAGAAACTGAGGATTCCACTAATAACCTATCCCATCCTTAAGAACTTTGCAGAACTACTCAAGAACACTGAAGAACACCATAGCTAAAAACCCAGAAAATGATTCAAACCCAGAATTCATTAAAAAGCAAGTATGTTATAGATAAGACAGAGATCTACAACTTTTTCGAAGAAAAGAAATGCAAAAAATCAAAGATTCAGCAGGAAAAATGATTACAAAATCTAGGGTTTAGAGAGAACAGCGGAAAAACCAGTGGGTAAAAAGAATATTCCCTGGATAATAGGGTGAACCCCTATTTATAGAAAATACTAGGTTGTCCTAATTAGCTACAAGACAAAATAGAAAGTCGGCGGCTAAGGTCCAACTCGACTTGACTTCGAGTCTGTCTCGTCGAGTTGGTGTGATTCTCAAAGGTGGCGCCTCTCTGATGACCTACTCGACTCCACGTCGAGTCCATGTGGTCGAGTCCATTCCAGGACAGCTTCGTAACGTCCTACTCGACTCCACGTCGAGTCTGGCTGGTCGAGTATGTCTCGGAATCCTCTTGAATGACTTCCTTCTCCTCCAACTCGATCCCAAGTCTAGCTCCAAAGTCGTGTTGGCTCCTCCTTGCTCCATTAAGTCCCAAATAAGCTCCAAAGTACCTGAAAAACATCAAATATGCAATATGCTATGCGATGCAATGCAAATCGAGCTAAGTGATGATAAGAGTAGGAGAAAGACTATGAATGCAGTGAAATAGAGAGGAAACTAAGCTAAATACATAAGAAATGTATGCTTAAAAGTGGTTAAATACAGAGACATCACTCATCGGGAAACAATGAATGCTTTGGGAATTGCACGAGACGTGGACTACCTTGCTGAGATGTGCGGTTTAAATACCTTCCTGGGGTATAGTTTCGAAGGATATCAAGAGGAGCCCTGCCAGCTCCTAGCTACTCTCCAAGTGCATTTCTTTGGGACGAACAAGAGGAAGAGAATGGGAGGGGCTTTGGATATATCAAATTCTCGGTCAAGGGAAGAAACTACTCGCTAACCATCAGGGAGCTCAACGTTTTGTATGGGTTCCCCAGCAAAGAAGGATTGGTTCAAGATTTCGATAAACTCGAAATTCAAGCTCTGTGGAAGACGATAGCCGGACCAGAAGATTTCATACCTTCAAGAAGCAAGAGTTCCGCTATTAGAAGCCTGGTGGTGAGGTATCTACACCAGTCCATTGACAGCATGTTCTTTGCGAAGAAAATTACCGGAACCATGAGTGCGAGTTGCAACTTCTGGACTTAGCTCTCATTTTCCTCTTGGGAAACACTAAAGATGGAGCCAGAATGATGGGAGATAGAGGAAATGCTTCCCTAGTAGCTGTGTTCTTGGATCATCTATTGGGATACAAGGAGTATGCTGCATAGGACAGGGCGCAAGGGAAGTTTAACCATTGGTGGAATCGTGACACCAATGTTGGTAGCTGCGAGTATAGACGTGGGAACAGGAGACGCTTCCCCAACTTGGATCGATATGGCTTACTTAAGGAAGAAGGGCTACCTTGACAAGACAGCTCCTGAAGGTGTGCTGCTCTATGTGTTCAACCACCCTGAGGAAGGAAGTTCTAGGCTGCTTCTACCATGCACGAATCATACCACGATTAGAACTGGTGAGAACATCGACTTCTGCCCACCGCCCTTCATTCTTTATGATTCACAAGTCACCCTTGCCTCTCCACTACCTCAAGCAATGCAAGAAGACAACCTGGAGCAAACCCAAGACGATCCCGATGATTATGCAACAGAGCGGTTCTTCTTCGAGGAATACAAAGCTCCCAAGCAGACCAAAGGCGAGAGAGAAGCTCACAAGCGTATAGGCCTCCTGCAAGGGGCTGGGAAAGTTCCAAGGGAAGGCAATACGGGGATTGTCGAAGAAAGTTGACTCATTGACCACCATGGTGAATAAGATGGCGATTCAGATCACGGAGCTCCAGAAAAAGTCCAAGAATTCACCACCACCAATAGAGCAAAGGGGTACTTTGAGAAGAAGTGGTTCTACAAGTATAACCCCAAGGCACGCAGTGATTGTTGATCCTCCCAGATTCTCATCGTTTGAGCCACGCCAAAGGGAAAGCCGAGAGGAGTTTGCACAAGTCTACAAACGCTCGGGAAGGAAGCGCGACAAGAAGGACGCTCAGCTGTCAAGTTCAGAAGCGTACTCAACCAGGGAACTCGACATGGAGTCTAGTAGGGACGTCGAGCAGGCACTTCCTGAGTCACGCACTGCTCCTTCTTACACACAGGAGAGCATGGAGGACTTCCTCAACACCTACTTCTCCTAAACCCAAAGTATCTCTCATCCACCTAAACCATTGTATTATTTCATTGCATGTTTATTTCTCTGTTACGTTGTTTGTTTGTCTTGAACTCTCTTCTGAATTTTTATTACACATGGGACTGTGTAATTTAAGTTTGGGGGAGGGTCCAAGAAGTATTTGATGTTGTGTTCTGTTTTCTTATTGCATAAGCATCTAAGTCATAGAAAAACAAAAATTTTTTGAAAAATTTCGAAAATTGTAATACAAAAACAGAGTGTTCATGTAGTTCACATTGCCATTTTAAGTTTGTTTTAGTATGCTTTCATTTAGGACTGGTGCATCATGCATTTGCATTGGAGATTATGATGATTATAACCTTGTAAATATGCACATTCACTAAGTAAATTCAGTGCCCAGGTTGTTAGTCCTCTAATGCATAATCGATTGAACTTGAAGTAAGACCGCATCATCTCTTGAATTCGAAGCTTGATTTTCTTGTTCTTAGTTGAAACTCGCTTTGATCTGATGCCTTTCCCTATCAATTTGAACCTGAATTTTGACTTGCAATTATCATACCATGCATTGTGTTATGAACTCATGGATACCTGAAAATACTTGGACTTTCTTTTACCTTTTGATCACTCTTGCTAGTCCAAGTAGCTGACTCCCATCTTTGGAGCAGTTATTCCCTACCCTAAGCCTTAACCTTCTTTCAAGCCATTTATCATTTGTGTGTGAATGTGAGGCCTTATTTCGATTGAGCTTGGTAGAAAGTGTTAGGTCTGTAACGACAAGGATAGTATCTCATGTAGTTCTAGTTCATGTTATCTGGACTAGATAGGACTAGGTGGGTGCTTAATTCTGGGTTTGGGATGTTCTTAAAAGAAAGAAAAAAGTTGTGATCATCACTGAAAGAAAAGAAAAGGGAAATGAGTCCTTAGGAGAAGTAGCTAAAGTAAGAAAAGTATAGTAAAGGATTTGGGTGTGCTAAAGTAAAGAAAAGGGTTCTGTAAATAGCTTAAAGAGAATGGGCAAAAGCCTTGCATTTATGAGAAGAAAGAAAAGGGAACCTTAGTTGTTAAAGAATCCTGATCCGCTAGACAGAGCAAAGTAAGAAAGCTTCTCCTAGGATAGAAAAGCAAAGAAAAGAAAGGAATGATATGAGAAAAAGTCTGTAAATGCTTTGAGTGCAAAAGGGTAGAGTTAAGTTCATGTTCTGGGATTAGAAATAGGACCTCCATTTGGGTTGATATTGATTACATTCTGGGTAGATGGGGTCTTATCCTTGTATGCATAACTTGATACTCACCTTTAGCATTCTACTAAAGCTCAATCATTCTTGAGAGATCCCCTGTTGCGATTTAAACCAGATCTTTAAGGGACCATCTTTGTCTCTAGACCTCTACCCTTAAGCCAAATGAGTTCTTATCCAATACATAGTATGATTCACGGTTCCTACTTAATCAATGTTAAAGGGAATGTGCTGATGTGAATGCTGTGGATGTAGGATTCACACTCGATTGTCTTTAAGTATTTTTGTGGAGAAAAACTCTAAAATCAACAAATGAAAAATAAGGATTTGAAAGGGAAAGTAACCAAGAAACTAAATAAAGCGAAAGAATTTGGCAAGAATAAAATAGTAAAAAGCCTTGCGAAATTGTAAAAGAAAGAGTATGCTGTATTGCTTGATAGTAAGAGGTAAAAGGTTGTTCTCCCCCAAACACATGCGTTTGAGATTGTTTTTATAGAGAAAACATGATCAATGCGGTCATTTACTGCTCATAATCGCATTGATCCGCATTAATCATGTAGGTTACAATTTGACCAAAACAGCTTGAATTTGAACTATCTTGGGCTTCGCGTGGATCTTCCGAACTCTTTCTTGTTGACTCCGAACTCCTGCGTCTTGACGCTGCCGCGAACCTCAAACAATATTCTCCTTGCTTCGGCCTTCTTTTATGCGAACTATATGTTGAATAAGAGCGAACTCCGTACTGGTAAAGATCGAGCTCTTTAATAAACTGAATCGAACTTCCGACAGGTCGAGCTCGATTCTCGCAATAAAACATCTAGAAATCCAAGAGGATTATTATGTAATAATGACGTGGACAGATCCAAGTGGATCCTACCGAAAATGTGTGGGATCCGACCCCAATATTTAGCCCCCAAGTCTTGCGAGCTGAGTGCTCGGCTTGGAAGACTTAAGTAAACAGTAATTAATAACTCAAGATCTTTAACATTCCGGAATTATTCCATGTTTTTCGCTGTTACGCTAATCTCGGATAATCAGATGATTTGATTTCCCTGACAACCGTCATCATTAATTTCTTAATTTTATATTAATACCACGGGAAGAACTGTCCCACTTCCCAATATTCTCGAGATGGTTTTCACTAAATAGGGTTAAATGGAACGATGGCTTTTACAGTGTACATTCACCCCTGAAAGCTTTTACCAAACAAGAGAAAGAAAAAACTCCTTAGTAAAAAATGTCTTCCCCGGCCGTCTACGTTTCAGACAACGAAGACGATAGTCAAAGAATCCCTGTTCCCAGAGGGGACGAAGTTTTTACCCAAGCGGGAGATAAATTTAGTCCACATTTCAGGTCCCAATCGACCCATGCTTCCCTTGGCGCCCTTCGTTGCCTTTGTAACATTCTCCAGAAATGGTGCGAGAGGGTTACTGATGCGCGTACGAAGTCTATTTCAAGGGTTTTGGTTTATTTTTTCCTATCCCGGAAGTTCTCATTTTGTATCTCCTACATCTAGGGATCGCTTTTCCCCAAATGGCTCCCAAATTCCTTAGGTACGTCCTGAGTACCCTGACCGTTTCGGCGGAGGTAGGGTTTTCTCTCACCACCAGCGAACTCTTAGGGCTATTTCGAGCCCGTGATTCTGCGGCAGAGGGTATTTTTTCCATGAATCCTATTTTTGACCGTAACCTTATCGACGGAATGCCCCTAAATGATGGGCCTTGGAGGAAATACTGGTCGCCCAAACTTGGTTAGAATCATTCTTTATTATCTTTCTACTACATTGTGTGAAAGAAACGGAATTCTTAACTCAACATTTTATTTCAGGGAACCAAACTATCCCCCGTCCAATTGTTGACTTCTTATCTTTCTTCCGAATCGTTTCCGAGGGTGACACAAATTGGAATTCTTTCACCCTTCAACGTATTCATAAAGCGGGACTCGCTATTAAGGATGGTAAAACTCACCCTCTTGACCCTCCTCCTGAAGAGAAAGATGTTTCGAGCTTGAATGCTCGAGATAAAAGAAAAATTCAGGCTGAGATTAAGGCTCTTAAGGATCAATTATCCGAAATTGGGAAAAAGAAGCGGATAGCTGCAATCTCCAAGGTTGGTAGCTTCCACAGGAAGACCCTCTTAGTTGATAACGGTTCCTTAGAAGCGGCTTTGTCAAGTGCGGTGGATTCTTATGGAGCCGATATCTCTAACGACCCCATAGTTGCCACCGCCATTTGCTCTTCCGCACAAGAGAGGGAGAGAGAAGAAACTCCTCCTCTTTGCACAAAGAGGAAGGCTCCAGACTCGGATACTTTATCAAACGAGAGACTCAAAACTGTTAGATTAAGTTCTCCGCCACGAGCCCCTAGCTTTCTGCATTCTGTTTTCCCCTCTGTTGAACCTTCAGACTCTGAGCTCCCTTTTTCGGGAGACAGAGCAATTCCAGAAGAAATCGATGAGCCGAGACCTGAGACTTCCCTGTCCCAAGGACTGAGTGTTAGGACTCAAAGCCCTTTAACCGCTTCGATTTCTGGTAAGTTTTTTTTTTTAGAAAGCAAGCCTTAGCAAGATTTGTCACAGATTGCGGTTATTTATCAACCTACTATTCTCCTCTGTTTTGCAGATGGAGAAGAGATTGGAGACATCTTCTGAGGTTTTCAAACCAGGGAAGGGGCGTCCCTTCCTCCTTTTTCGGTTTGGAAGCCGGAAATCCGCCAGATGTTCGTCAGTCGAGCCTGTTACCTATCCCAAGTTCAAAAATTTTTGGATTTTGATTTTGTCAATCCCTTTTTCTTCTAAGTAAAAGAAAAAACTTTTTGCTTTAATGACACGGGTTTTTTTTTTTTTTTTTTACTCCGAAGGCGTTTATGGAGACTAATGGAATGATCTTCCATTATGAGAACCTTCTTCACCAAGCGATGAGAGAAGTAGCAAAGGCTAAAAAGGAGGTTGATGAACTTAGACTAGCCAATCAGTCTGAGCGATCTGAGCAAGCAAGAGCCCTTGAATCATCCTTTGAGAATATGAAGAAAACTCTAGCAGCTAATGAGCAACGGATCAGAATTGCGGACGATAAAAGAGATTCTGCGAGGTCTGATGCTCTTCGCTTAGAATCCGAGCTAGAAGAGACTACAGCCTTGCTCGAAGAAACGAATCAAAAGACCAAGCTTTTGATTAGGAACAGAGCTCGCGATATTGCTGAAGCCGAACATAACGCTCGAGAAGAGATGAGGGGCTTTGGTAGGCAACTCATTCAATCTATCATGAAGTTTGTCAAAGACGAGGAAGTCTGGACTAAGCTTCAGTCCGATCGAGCCGAGCTGAAGAGTAATCTAGATCTGATTGGGGGAATAGAGAGTGGAAGAATTTCGCTAGAGGATGAGAGGAGGGAAGTTTCTGCTGAGCTCGCTATAGTTGAATCCGAGTTATCTTCGGCTTCCCGCCCTTCTCTTGATTTGGGACCATTCTCTTTGGTATTTGGAGACTCCCCCTCCCAATTTGAGGTTGGCGAAGGTTCTCCAGAGGTGTGAACGCTCTTTTTTTTTTTTTTTTTTAAAGAATTGTTTTGTTGAGTCCATGAGGATTATTCCGTTTGACGGAAATATTTTGTTCAATTAGTGTGACTGAACACAACCAAGTACATGCTCTGGCATATGATGATTATTTTAAACAAAAACGTTTAGACATGATTCTAGGTTTGCAAGTCCTAGTCCACCAAAGAGGTTTTATGAATTGTGAGAGATGAGCTGATCAGGCTCACTTGCCTTTATTAAAAAAAAAATCTTAATAAGAATTTTTCCTCGGTCTCTCGAAGGCGAGGATGGAGCTCGGCTTAAGTTTTTTTTTTATATCGAGGGATAAGAGTTATAATTCATGAGAATTTTGTCATAAATATGACCAGACAATGGTTTTGATCGTTGCCCATGATGGCTTCGGAATCGCTGGGCCGCGTTTTAATTGGATCTGAAGCCTGCTCTAACAGGCCAGATCCAGACATTTTTTAGAAATCTGAACCTCTTCCTCCTTCAAAAGGAATTCCGAAAGATCACCATAGTTCATTATAAGAAAAAACTTGAAAAATGTCGCTGTCTTCTTTCAGATCAAGCACAAGAATAACTACTTTAAGTGGGAACCCACTGTTTGAGTCCGAAGACGGATTCTCCCCAAAGGGAGTTATTCACCCAACATTTTTTCATTTCCGAACAGGGAAGAAAAGGGTAAAATGTTATGACTTCCTAGAAAAGGTTTCTTTTCTAACTCTTAGTCTTCTCAGAAAACTATAACTTCCTTTCTTTTGGTAATTTGACAAAATGTTTGTTCAAACAGATTGTGGGGAGACACAAAGCTTTATGTGATAAGAGACAAAGAATCGGAAGGAGGCGCCGTGCTCTTGATGAGCGCAAAAAGAGGATGGAAAGAGAGATCCTTCGCCTGGAATCTGAACCGCACGAATGGGAGAGGAATGGTCTAGACATTGTGGCCATAATGCCTACTTGCCTCCGAAGATTCCTCCGCATGCTGGATAAATTTCATCGTTTATCCTTGGCGACCAGCGATGGGTCCTCTTTTGTTTCATGTTCCTCGGAGTTTCGGAGACTTCCGATGTTAAGAACTGAAGAAAAAGAGGAACCGGAGATGAAAATTGTTGATGACTTCCCCGTCCCTTTTGATTTATCTTCTGACGAGGGACTATCCTCAGAAAGCTGTTCGGGATCTTCCACCTCGCTGGAGTCATTATCGGGCGAAGACTTTTAATCGAACACTTTCCGTTTTATGTTTGTAAAATGTCACTAGACTTGAAACCCAGCAACATTAATTATATTCCTCCTTTTGCTTTAAATTTGCTGATTTATTCAAATCTCATTTAATGGGTTTAATCTAGGGAACATAATTAGCAATTAACTCGATTACATTTTCCATGAAAGTCGTAATTTCAGATTTGGGAAATCGTCAATTAATCCTCTTAAATGCAATAGAATAAATTTTCGAGTATAAAGTGGGTGTAGTTTATCATTGAATTTCAACAACAATTCTACAAAAATTTCTGAAGAGGAAAATTCTTAAGAGAAAACTTCTGACTCATCCAGATTGATAAGTGACGTTTTTCCGGGAGCACCAGACATCGAGCTTACAAAAACGGGAAGAACTGGCGAATCGGAAGGGTCACGAATATTGAGGAAGGGAACCAGCATTCAAGTTCCGATCGTATTAATCGAGAGATTGTCAGCCCAAGATCGTGTCAAGGCTGAGGAGTTTATCAATAAGGTATTTTCCATTCTAGTCATTAACTTCTTTTTGTTATTGCTAAACGTAGCGTTTTATTTTCTTCAGCTTATCACTCGGCATGACGAGCTCGAAGATGAGAAGAAAAAGATTAGGAAATGGATAATGGAGATAGAGAAGCGTCGCCTCGATATTTCTCGCGAGCTTCATCGCCTCGAAGCCCATCCTTCCGATTGGATCGAACTAGGACTTCAGAAGTACGGAAACATGCCAAGTTGTATTATTAGCATCATTGACCTCGCAGGTCAAGGAGCAGAGCTATTCCGTAATTCAAGACCCTTCTAGATCCGGTCTTAGCTTAGCAAGAAATATTTATTTATACATTGTTCGCAACGTATCTTTATATTTATCCTTGAATATCAAATTCATAAAAACAAGATTCCATGACTGGAATAATATTTTTATTTTTATATTATAGCTGGACTCGTGTTTAGCGAGCTGCCTACGTATCCAGAATAGGATCAAGCCAAATCGTAGTTCGAATGTGTTTGCTTTAGCAATAGAACTTTTTCAAGTTGATTATGTTCCAAGGCCTTTGAACGGGATTTCCACCAAGGTCTTGTAAAGATTTTTTCAGTGATTTGATAAGGGCCTTCCCAGTTAATACCGAGTTTTCCAGCTCCTTCTTCTTTTGTGTTATCGAACACTCGCCTTAAAACAAAGTCTCCTACATTTAAAGGTCTGTTTTTCAACTTTGAGTTATAGTATCGAGCGGTCAACTGTTGATAATTCTGAAGTCGAATAAGGGATTGGTCTCGCCTTTCATCGATTGTATCGAGAACGTCTTCTAATAATTTAGAATTCGATTCCTCGTTAAGTGGAGCTTCAATTCGGCGCAAACATGGAACATTCAGGTCGGCTGGGACTACGGCTTCCATCCCATAAACTAATGAGAATGGAGTTTCACCCGTTGCTCGCCTCGGGGTTGTTCGATAAGCCCACAACACAGGTTGCAGCTCGTCATACCATCCACCTTTTCGAGCACTCAAGCGTTTTTTAAGATTGCTGAGAATGGTTTTATTGGAGGCTTCCACTTGTCCATTTCCTTGAGGATACTTCGGCGTTGAGTAGCTAAGTTTTATTCCCCAAGCGGAACAAAAATCTTCAAAATCATTTGAAATGAATTGAGGACCATTGTCCGTTAGTATTTCGTAAGGAACTCCATAGCGACAAGTAATGTGTTTCCACAAGAATGTCTTTACTACGGAATCTTGTATGCTTATATAAGCTTCAGCTTTAATCCATTTGGAAAAATAGTCCGTTAGAACTAATAAGTATTGGACGCCTCGTGTTGAACGATGCATCGGACCGATTATATCCATTGACCACCTCATGAAAGGGTATGGAGCGGATATATGTGATAGAATTTCAGATGGCTGGCGAATAAGAGGAGCATGCATCTGACACTTTTTACACCGTTTGGCGTAATCAATGCAGTCTGAAATCATAGTTGGCCAGAAATATCCTAACTGTTTGATTTTGAAAGCCATTGCTCGTCCCGAAGAATGACTACCACAAAGCCCTTCGTGGACCTCGCTTGTCACTATTTCAACTTCGGGTCCGAAAATACATAAAAGATAAGGATCACTGACGCCTCGCTTGTACAATGGCTCTTTAATTATACAATACTTAGCGCTGATGATTTTTAATTTGCGAGCTTGCCATTTGTTAGATGGTAGTTCTCCATTAAGAATGAAATTTTTGATGGGTACCATCCAGTTAGCCCCCCAATCATTAGCGGAAGTATTATCCTTGAGTATAAACTTCTTGGTTCGGGTTCGGAAGGAATATCAGGATCTTCGATTGTCTTTTGAACCTCTACATCACCTGGAACTGACTGTTCGGTTCGAGACGGTTCTTTAATGGGAACCTCTTGATCCTTTAACTTTCTTTTTGACTTTCTTTTAGGAAGTTCCAATGGTGGAATAAGTTCGTCATCTTGAGACTTTATCCGTGATCTGGTGATGACAAGTGAACTATTTCTGGAACTTTGTTTTGGAGTTACGATGTATTCGGCCTCCGAAATATTATTGATAGTAAAATTTTAACTAAGATCAATTATCCTTAAATCACTATCATGTCATTGTAGTATTTAAGGTGTCAATCCAAATGGGTGTGATGCTAGCAATCAAGACGCAATCAGATTTTACAGAGTCAAGCCAAACAATAACAGGTTTTGATGTTGTTAACAATCCTAAGTGATCATGCAAAAACAGAAATTATAACAGAAATAGCTAATATACTCGACCAACACAGCCTGATGGCAAGCACTGGGTGTGGTCGAGTATCAGGTCGAGTAACAGCAGAAACTGCAATAAAACTACTCTACCACACAGTCCGTTTGCCAGACACTGGATGTGGTCGAGTAA